AAGGAGATTTTTAGCTAAATGATCGCTTCACTGCTGCTGACTCCACTGACAAGTAATCAGAAACACAGAATCACATGAAGATATTTTTGATGTGGGTTTGGTTCTTACTCAGTTAAAAGAGGAGATTAGGTCATCTGAAAGGCTTGCTTTCAGGTCTCATCTGTGGATCTGAATACTGAGTGAATACTGGAGAGAATTATTTTTGAAACACTCACTTCAATAATTTATAGAACCTAATGATTTAATATCAGGATTAAGCATGGAGATATCTGAGGCACGGAGGGGATGGGGTGCGGTTATATCTGGGTAATTAGCTTAGTGATAAACCCACCTGTTTCCTTATTCTCCCACATTCAGAGATTTCTGCTTTGACTCTGTCGGAAACGTGGGTGGTTTTGGTAAGAAAAATAATTTAAAATTTACTACTTCATGACCCCAGTAAGGAGAGTGTACACCTCTCGCCACTTAGCACAGACATGCTGACTTAAGAATAAATGTGTAGACAATGTGGGTTTTAATCTAGCATACCACCACACTGGGCGGGGGCGGGGGGGGGGGAAGGAATTCTTTACCTCTGCATTTGGGTAGAGAGCTGTCCTGGGCACTTGGCCCCAAGATAGCTGAGGACTCTTTTATCAAGGAGCATTTATCAAGATTTGAAAATCACGAGCTCTTACCTCCCTAAGATTAGTTCTGAAAAGGTGCACCTAAAACTAATCTCTGGGGAGTGCTAGTGGTAGTAAACAAAGAGCGTGGAACACAAAGGCATTGTACCTGAGTTGAAAGCTGGCTTCATGACTTGCGCCTCCTCAAACCTAGTTAGGCCCATTTGACCAACGCCTAAAATGGACATCACCATCATCCTCAGAGAGCTCCTGTGAAGACCTCCTGAGATAATGTTCACGGAGCACCTAGCAGAGGGGCTGGCGACTTGTCCAGCGGTCAGAAAATAGTAGTTTCCTTTCTCCCATTCTGACTGACGATTTATTCACTGGTGTGTGTGCGTGTGTGTAGGGGGGGTACTCAAGGAAGTTACAATATAGGGGGTAAGGCAAAAGTCATGCCTACAAAAGGTATATAGTTTTGCAAGACTGGGTAGATATTTTTATGTAGCCAACACTATGATTCACAGAGCTCTGGAAAGTAGAAAAGAAAACAGACTATCACAGGTGGAGGCAGCAAGGGAAGGCTTCCTGGAAGAGGAAGGATTCGAGCCAGAGCTTTGAGGGTGGTGGGAATGAGACGGGCGGAGAGAAGTGCGCAGGGCAGGCCAAGCCCAACAGACACAAAAGTACTTAACGAGGACGTCCAGGGCAAGTGCTGTAATATGCACAGACTGGTCTGAATGGAAGAAATTCTGCATGTTGGACTAGCTAAGCATACAGCTTTTGGTAAATGGTAAAGGGGCTTAATCAACTGGATCAAGAAACTGGTCTTTATTTTGTAGATAATGGAAAGCCAGAGAAGGTTTCTGGGCAGGAAAGAGCATGGCCACATATCGTCTAGAAAGCCTGCAAGTCTACGACATTCACGCTAGCATTATGAGCCATGCTGCTGGGAAAGAAATCCCTTTCATTACACTAATACTTAGTAAATCACTGAAGACCTACTTCAGAACTCCAAGGAAAACATTTTATGAATCAAAAGCTAAGTACAATATGTTAGCAATTAAATGAGATAACATAACAGCCGAGGCAGAACCAGTTCTCCCCACCACGATTTCAAGCTGCTGCAGAAAAGAAATGCTTCTATCATCTTCCAAGTTATCAAGCCATTTTGTTTTGATTTTCGGAAGGCGGGGAGGAAGCGAGAAGAGGATGGAGGTCAAGAGGATTCAAAGCTGTCTATTCTTTAATCAGGAGGCATTATTAAGGGGACTCACAAAGGAGATTTGCTCAGAACAAGCCTAGCCCTGGGATGGGTCTTCAGTCCCTCTAAGTGGCTTCTGCTCCAGAACCAGGAACGAAGGTGTGTAGCTGGAAAGAAACACCCACCAGTGTTCTCCGTAGTGAGGTTTCCGGTCCTTACCTCCCACTGCTACTTTATTTACTGCAGCTGGCCAAGGTTTTATAGCCTGTTTCATGTATTAAAATTCAAATGTGGAAAACATTACCAGTATCCTCCTTGATACTTTTTTTGTTGTTGTTGTTCGGGGCAAGGGGGGGGGTGGTTTTTTTTTTTTTTTTCTCTTCCCCTTCAACTTCCTTTTTATTGTGGAATGTATCAAATGGTCAAAGGCTAACTTCAGACTGACTAAATTCAAAAACTATTTCCTTTGTTCTGATGTTTTTGTTTGAAAATTCATACCAGTTTGCGCAAGGAAAAGAAATGACAATCCGATCTCTTTCACACACGTTGGGGAGTTTCAGGCTGGGGAGCTCAGACCCTTGTGGACCTGCTGGGTCTTTGTGAGAAGAAAGGAGAAGGACGGCAGGGCCTCTGCTGGTTGTAAGGGCAGCAGGCTGTGGCCACGCTGCATCTCTGGAGCTACTCCTCACCTGGTTGGCTGTGCGGTCATCCCTGACTGGATTAGAAGTGCCTTCAGAGGAGTGAACGGGGAACTTTCCCTCCTCAGTAAAACTAGCAGCTTTATAGCTTCTGCAGAGCCTTTTCAAAACCAAATCAGAAATGTTTCTGGGCAATATTGGCAGATTATTTCTCTTTTCCTATTGCTCCAATGCATTATCTCCCCTTCCCCTCCAGCCAGATCAGGCCAACTTCCCCTCTCCAGAGACGGTTCTAGTCCCTTCATCCTATCCCACCTTTGAATCAGACTCAAGGGGGAGGCAACCCAAAGGTCACACAGTCCCCCAAAGCATCTCTATGTATAGTTTGTTATTTTAAAGAACCACTTAACCTACATCTGGTATTTAAGAGCAAACGTTACATATTTATGGAAAAAACTGTCTCTGAAGCAATGTGCCCTGGGTGTACACTGCATCCGTTTAACATATGCAAAACGAACACAGCTACAGAAATTAAACTATTTTTCTCTTGATTGAGAGCAGATATAGAGAAATGGTTATAAGTCACAGATCTGGCTTTTAATAAAGCCAGATTTCTTAATTAAAAGCAGTATTGTTTAAACATTGTAGTTTAAAAAGAAAAGAGCTGTACAAACTAAAACCTCATATTATATGCATCCCAAGTGTATTTAACACATTACCTGAGGCCAAGCTAAATTAAAATCTAGATTTTCCTTTTGTAAACTCTTAGCAACTGCCATGAATAGACAAACAATTTTTACTCAATGATGAATTTTTAGGATAGAGGTCAAGGAAAAGCAAAAGAGAAAAAAAAGATTTAGCTTTGGCATTCAGAAATATCTTTCCACGTTTTAGAAGTGAGTTCATTGCTTCTATTTATAAACCAGTATTTTTGGTTTCAAATTGGTTGCAGGTTTCCATGATACACCGCTCAGGATGGTCCTCTCAATCTTAGTCTTTTATTAAGAAAAACTGAAAGGAGGACAGAAGAATCCTACTGAGCAAGAACTTAACAAGTCTCAGAATAACCTGTGCTTATTTTGCACTCTCCTCTTGGAATCATCAGTAGACAAGAGATGCTACATTGGTAACAGAAGATGGACCTTCATCCAAGCAACTGTTTAAGAGTCTACAAGGTATACACCAGGACACTACAGTGTTCATTAATCAGGAAGGAGTTTATAAGAAGTGGAATACACGGAATCATTAATTAGCAGTAAATTCTCTGCCCAGTCAATCACCTTATGGTCATCACTTAACATTTTGTTAAGAAGATTCTGACGACTGCAGCAACTGGGTGGCTCAGTCAGTTAAGCCTCCAACTCTTGGGTTCAGCTCAGGTCGTGATCTCAGAGTCTTGAGATCAAGTCCCACATTGAGCTCCACGCTCAGCACAGGGTCTGCTGGGGTTTCTCTCTCCCTCTCCCTCTGCCCCTCCCCACACATTAGTGCTCTCTCTCTAATAGATAAATAAATCTTAAAAAAAAGGAAGATTCTGAACTTTCATAATCATCCAAAAAAGGAGGATGCATTTCCCAATGGTTTCTAAAAGCAATGGGCAGAGCTGACATTCCAGTTCTCATACGGACAAATCTGCTTAAATATTATTTAAACAAACACTTACTCATAAACAGGCAGTGATAAACTACTATATCCTTAAATCACAGAGTCCCACACCATATATTTAGACAGATAAACACAACACATAGTTCTACCTCCCACACTCAAAAGACATTGATTTGGATTCTTTGATAATAATAAAAAATTTCAAACTATTCATATCTGAAATGCCAATACTGTAAAACGTACAAAAGTTGAGCCCTCTAGATGACATCATTAAGATGAAGACTTTAAAACACCAGCAATGACCCAGGGATGTCCTCCAAGTTATACAGTCAAGTAATATGAAAACACATAGCCACCCAAAGACTTGTACGTGAATGTTCATAGGAGCATTATTCCTAATTGCCAAAGAGCAAAAATAACCCAAATATCCACCACCTGGTGCACGGATAAATATAACAGATCCCTACATGAGGGAATCTTTTTTGGCAATAAAAAGGAATGACGCTCTGATACAGGATGAGATATGTATAAACCCTGAAGCATCACACTGGCTGAAAGAAGCCAGTGAGTCGGAAAAGACCATCACATACTGTACGATTTCAGTGTTAAGAAATTATCGATAGGCAAATTATAGAGACAGAACACATTAGCCGTTGCCAACGTCCAGGGAGAGGGAAGATTGGAGAGTAACTACTGCTGGCATGGGAATTTCTTTTCTTTTTTGCAGGCGATAAAATGTTCTAAACTTAGACTGCGGTGATGGTTGCATAATCCCGTGAACATTCTCAAAAACATGGAGTTGTAAACTTTAAGTGGATGAACAGCAGGTAAGTGAATTATATCTCAATAAAGCTGTTTAAAAAAGAAAAAAAGCAGGAGCAGTAGTATTTATACTTGAAATTCTAATTCTATATGGTAACTAAAGAGTCTCCAAATTTCATCACTTACCATGAGTGAATGTCTGTTGGCTGAAAGAAGACCGGTTCCATACCCTGAGCCCAGACCACCCATTGCTCCATTATGAGAAGGTCCAATGATTCCATGCATGTCCCCATGACCACCGGGCATAGCTGTGGATGGGCCCACTGCATGATTCCGGAGAACGTGAATAGCATCATCCAGTCTTTCTAAGCGATCTTCAATTCGGCTTTGCTGTTGGTTAATAAACGACGTGAAATTTGATTTAGTTTGAAATGCATGCGTAGGTTATAGAAGTAAAATGCGAGTTGACACAAATCACACTTTGGGTTTCTGAATGTATGGTTCTAATAAATCTTATTTCCATGAGCCAATAATAAAAACAGTGACCTTCCGAGGAAACTCGTGAAAAATGTTAATGGTTTATCATAGTGTTATTTTTCATGAACAAAGTATATTTTGTAATTCTTCCAGCACATTATAATGTACATATGCCATAGTACATTGCTTGAAAGAGAATTTAGATTTACTTTACAAATTTTTTTTTGTATCTATACAATTTGAGAAACATTCTAGCAGTCATTGGTTAGAGATTTCAACAAATTAACAATGGAAAGATGATGTATTTATAGTCAAATTATTTTCTTTGAGGCATATGTCCATCTCCTCTGCAGCGCTAATGCAGCGCTCTGCAGTCAAGGACAGGTAAATGCATACAGACTATAATTTCTTATTGCGTACTATCTTTTTACCAGCATTTCTTGCTTTCTATCTGTTATTACCAGCCCGTGTGTGTGTGTGTGTGTGTGTGTGTGTGTGTGTGTGTGTGTAGAGGGGAGTGGGAACTCAAAATGGACACAGAAAAAACATTACAAAAACTTTGTCAACCCAAGTGGTATGAGATTCCAAGACTGAAGAATCACAAAGATGTGAATTCATTGTTCACCAGGGCCCTCTAGTTGATTCCAAAGCCCTTACTCTGTATAAAATTCACTACCTTATGTAATTAAATTATACAATTCAAAACCAACTGAACTTTTTTTTTTTTTCATTCCTGCCAGTGGGATCCAGTTTTCTTCAACTAGAGAAGGCCTAGACTATAGTTTTTGGTGAAGAAAAAGCACACATAGGTGTGTATTCACTTTTTTCAGTATGACCCATGACAGCCAGTAAACATCTGCATACCCCTCTGCCGTGTGCATTTTAAAACGTGCTATTTCACTGGCTCTTCATTCTCCATGTGTAAGGCAAGCAGGGCAGACATTAAATCCCTACCATATAGATGTGCAAATCAGGCTCAAAGAAAGGAAGTATTAGTTACTCGGTGTCACAGCGCCAGGAAATGGTACAGTTAGGGTTGAATCGAAGTCTCTGGACTTCAGATCTAGTGCCTCTCTGTACTAGATCATGCTACAACCTCCTTCGATTTCCAACGGGCTGTGCAGACAGATGTATGAGCTCTATTGCATGAGAAAAAAAACATTTCTATTCTATACCGACAAAAGGAATGTGTGCCTAATACAGTCAAGTCTATGGTATAGAAAACGTTCTGATTTGGTGGGCTTTGTTGTTAGGGGGTCTCCCCTAAGCTCCTAGCTGTTACTGATGCAATCTTTGAAAAGGTGCGAAACTTCGAGTCAATACATCATAATTTATAGAAATGGGAATAATACACACTTCCAAGTGTGAATGTGAGCACTGAAAAGAAGTAATGTGTGTGCCTATCACCCCTTCTGGCTCACAGCTTCCTGGTGGAGAGAGCAGTTTCTGTTTGTGAGTCCCCTTGTGAGCGCTGAGTATTCAGAGAACTGAAGCTCTAGTTCATAACTATGAACCGAGTCTGTATGGTTCTATAGTGGGACATGACCTAGTTTTGATACATGGGTCCCAGCGAATAATTGATGCAGATAAACACTTAGGACAACTGTGGATTACATGGGTGTGGGCTGCGGATTACTTAGTGAACGTAGGCAAGGCAGCTAGTGTATACGTTGTCTTACCCTCTGGTTGCCTTTAATGGCTCAAAGGCATTTGATCCCACACTATGCCAAGGAAGACCACAACCAAGGGAGACACCTACTTTTGTACATCCATTTTTAGATTTTCCTTAATTTAAACAGTAAGCCACCAAAAGGGAAGAAAGGAAATTCTGAGCTGCTGACAAGTCATTCAGTTAGATAGATGGATGAGTCAAGGTCTCTTCCATGTTCTATCTCAAAATATGGATGAAAAGAGGGAAACCCACCCCTGAAGGACTTAAGAGTTCCTTGTTGCTACTTCTCCCCGTTTGATTCATACCCGGACCAAAGGCGGCTCAGAGTGGCGTGATTTCATGCACATTGCCAGCCACATCCACCATGAGTTGACAAAGCCTAGAGTGTCAGACACTGAATCATCACGAGAGTGTTTATAATATTAATTAAACCCATGGAAAATTTCAGCTACTGGCTCCTGGAAGAGCATTTAGTGACGTTACTAGAGTTCTAGAAGAACCAGAGTGAATGGGGAAACAGATAGTAGGCTTCGTATTCAGAGGTCAAGAGGAGAACTCCCATAAGCCTGCCACTCTGGAAAGAAAAGCAGAGGTATACTGAATCTTCAAGTGTTCCAGCCACGCAGGTTGGCTGGATCTCCAGCACTCTCATATCAGGAAATCATTAACTCACTGCCAGGGATCCTTCTCAAAGATGGGACGGATGCTGCTATCTTTCCAGGATTTTTAATCTCTTACCTGGTCCTAGGTATTTGGAGCCCTGGGGCTTTACAGTGTAGTAGTGTCTGGGGTATAATCTACAAACAGGAACAAATAGAGTCTAATAGCTCTGACTCTAACAAACTTGTGCGCTAAACACCAATCTCAAGTTTCTGTTAGTGAGATAAGCATCTTGGAAAGTGTAACTAGGTGCAAAAAAGAAGAACACGGTCACAAAATGGCTAGAGGAGAGATTAGCGGATGAGGCTTACCAAAGAGTGTAAGGGTCCTTCATAATTAGGAGATGATGAGGCCTGTCCTCCGTTTCTAGACCAAACAGCTGTGCCTGCTGGTATTAAAATGGAGATTCCAATGAAATCTATATGATCTGAAAACAATCTCGCAGATATTTTAAACAGTTCTTTTAGAAATCGCAATGCTGATTTTCCTTTGGAAAATTAAGATAAATACATGTAATCCCTCCCATACAAGAATTCTGGGACAAGGAAGAAACATTTTCAATTTCAAACTTGACGGGGACTCAGAATTCTCTCAGGCTTCCTCCTAAAAGGGAACATTTAATTGGTTCTGAATTTTAGCTAGAGAAGGGTTCCTACTGCAGAAAAGAGATCACTATGTAGTCAAGGCACTTCTAAGAATGCAAAGGGGGATTCCATCATACCTTTGTGCAAGGCCAGTTTGCACAGAGAACCAAAATTCTCTCACAATGAAGGACGGCATTGCTACTTGTTTTCAAAATGACCTTTAAGAAGGGATAAGCCTTCCAAACTTTTTGAGGGAATAAGATTAGTTGGCAGTGATCCACTAAACAGGAAATTTAAAAACTCAATATAACAACAATAATAAGTAAGTAGTTTCTTCTGAAGAAAAGAATTATTTTGGGATCCGTTAAACTGGATTCCTGCTACAATCCATATTACATGTCTAACCTATGAAACAAAAACCACTTTTAAATATAAAATAAAGCATACTCTATGTGGAAACTAAGAAATAATTCAAGAAAGGGAAAAAAATTGTATGGCCTCACTGTAATCTCATGCCCTGCATGGTTAGCATCTAAAAAAAAAAAAAAATCCTTGCTTCCCGTCATTTCTGGCTGTGCATGTATGTGTATTTTTATGCTAAATAAAAGTAGGATATTTTGTTCAATTACTTTTAGTGATAGGATATGGACAGAACCAGCTATTTCCGGTGTGCAAATAGCAATTTGTCCCTCTATTTACGTCTTCTTAAAGTTCTCTCTTCTTAATATGTGGTCTTTTGTGGTACATTAGCAGGACCCCAAAAGTGGCCTGTTTCTGTGTCTTCCACACAGAGCATGCTGCTCAGGTTTTGGGTGATGGTGACATTTTCTGGAATGATGTACGCATTATAACTGTCTTCTCCCATCATTAACCTAGAGGTGGAGTGGCAGGATGGCGAGCACTGGATTCTGGCCCGAGCTCTGCTACCGTCACTCATGCAGCCTCATGTACCTTTGTGGTACCCTTCCTGGGCCTCAGTACGCTCATCTGTAACATCAGAGCACCAGACTAAAACAGCTGTTCTCAAACTTTATTATGTTCCCGATCCCCCCACCGAATTATAAGATAGATGAAATTAGAGCTGCTTTGTTTGCAATGGGGAACTTGGAACTCTCCCGGCTCAGTCTCCCACACCACTTGCCTCGCTGGGCTCGACGCTATCTCTGTCTCTCTTTGGCTCTGGACATTGACACTGGTGATCATTTTCCGGAGCCTAACTGCACGAAGACTGGCCCAGGAGTATGTAATAATCCTGAACTTTCTGTACTTTTTCTGTCAAGGGAATGTTGCATGGCTGTTCCATGATCCTCTCAGTATCATCTCTGTGTCCTTTCAGTTTCAATTCTGCCCATTGGTCCCTGTGGACTTGACGGTTCAGCCACCCTTCTCTATTCTGTGACATCCTCCACCCCATGTCAACAGAGGCTCAGAAAAAGCCTGAGATTCCATCCCACCTAAGCCATGGCCATCGCCTGTGAAAGCTTCGTGCAGTCCAAAACCGCCTACTCTCTACCAGGGAACCCAGTTTATGATGGGCCATGTGAATGGTGCACGCAGGGAATAACAGAGAGATCGAGGCAGCAGCCTTTAGGCAAGCGACTCCCCTATAAATTACAGTAAGGTCAGGTTTCAATCAGGTACAGATGCAATTCAGTTTCTTTTTTAGAAACCACCTGTCCTCTTTCCCAAGAAGAGAGACATGCACCAGATAGGGCCTTCTGGAAGCATTTATACTAGAAGGGCAATGCCCCTTTTAAATGGACCTCTGAAAAGTGAAACATTTTACTCACATAATTCAACAACTTATAGTTTTACTATTTGAAGCCATATTTGAAGTCATTCTAATTTGTTATATTTTAAAGGCAAATATCCCATTTTACTTCACACTCTTACTTCTCAATTTATTTACAAAATTATAGTTCTCCTCAATCATGCCAGTGAGGTGGACTTTAAGAAGGAAATGCAGAAAGTCTAAAATTTCTGGGGGAAATGACCCTTTTTGAACAGTCTATATTTGATGACTATAAAATTTATATTCATATTCCTGATTGTATTAGCTGGGGTTTCTCATCTTTGGTGTCTTATTAGAATATATTATTCTGTTGACTATTTTCTACAGAGTTAAGAAAAGCTTAAGAAGTTTTCCATATGCCTATGTATTCTACAAACATCTAATTTCTAAGAAGAATTTTGGATGTAAATGGCTATACTTTCATATGGCAGTGGAAAAGACAAACCTTTCCATTTTTCTGTTTGGAAATGTTATGTTTTAAGCTTTTAGAGGGAGGCAGTTTCCACCTGCCAGATCAGGAAGTACAAGAGGGAAATCATTCTCATAAACTGGTACCATGATGGGGTTGGATTTAGGTACAGTACCTGAGAGAGAAGGAGGAGAGCCAACAGGAGTTGAAGGGTTTGATGAAAAGCTGTTGTTAGTGTGATCTGGAGAATAGATCTTAAAACAGCGGGGAGAAAAAAAAAAACACCCTCATTTATTAGGAATAAAGAATCAACAATTTTTAAATGACAGTGTCGTTGCAGTTCATCTAAAAATTGCAAGTCATAAAATACATGTAATAATTGACTCTAGTACTAATATTCTAAAACGAAAAAATTAACAATTTCTTTAGTTTTTCAAAATAAGAATTCTGAGCTCATGTAAGGTGGTGGGGAGTATACTGGACTAGGGTCCGTACTCCTTTCTCTCCCATGTCCTACCATGGCCCCGTGGCCATGAGTAAGCCACATGAAGACCCTAAGCCCCCATTTCTTCCTCCATCAAACAGGTTAGACAACATCATCTCTACGATCTTTGTCCAATTCCTTCTCCACCATAATTAAGGCACTTAAGGTCAAGGCTTTAGATGCCCATTTAAGTATAAACTTCTACTCAGGTCACAATGCTTATTTTATGCTCCCAACGGGAAGGAGAAACCAACCGAAGAGACAAAATGTTAGAGTAACAAATCTCCATTTACAATTGTAAATAATCCTGTCTAGCTTTTGAAGAGAATCCCGGGCCTTCACCCTCATACAAATGGAGTGTGCTACTTCGTCACTAGTGAACATGCAAGAAATGATAAATTCTAGCCTCCCGGCAGTGGACAAAGAAACGGAGTCCCCAGGTGCCAATTATGTGACAATTTTTCACAGACCTCAGGTATGGTCATTTTTGTTTTTTCTCCCAAGTGCCTTTCCCAAAGTGTTTTAGAATTGCCCCCCTGCAAAGTCGGTCTTAGCTGGTCAATGAGCACCGTACGATTTTAGAGAAAAATAAGAAATCAAGGTAGAAAATCTATGCACCAAAAGGCCCTGACAATATCCACTAAGCCATAACTGAGGACTGCTTGGTGCCACTGTGGGGACCCCAGCTGGAGGGCTCAGCCATTCCCTGGAAGCGTCAGAGCACCCTCCTCAAATTTTTTCAGTAATCATTCTGCGAGAAAGCTAGCATTTCCAGAAATCAAAGCGATTTGCCATTCATTTTCTCCAATTCCAAATGTCCACTTCTGATTAAAGTTCACCCTTCCACAATGGTACATATGAAGTCCAAAGTCAATATTTCCTCACCGAAGCAAGTGCTTTCCCCAGAGCATCTCCAGTCTGGGAGCTGCCTGCTGCCCCGCTTCCTCTATTTGCTGCAAAAACAAAAGGCAGAATATGAAAAACCAGGCAGTGAGACGTCTAACAATTTTCTATTCCTGGTCCATTTACTCACAATTTAATTGCATTTTTAATGCTAATTACAACACATTAATCTTTAATTAGCATTAATTTGTTTGCTGAGGTAGATGTCAAATATATTCATGTTACTTTTTTTGCAGATAAAATATAAACCTGACACCTTGGTTTAAGATGAAGCGTTTCAGTTGCCAGTGCTTGCCCCCTTCTTGCCCACGAGTAGTTAGTGGTGGACGGTGGGCAGCAAGCGTGAAGGCACACGAGGTTCACCGCTAAGAAGTGTGCAGTACGTTCAGGCCTCCCAAGTCCTCAAAGTTCGCCTTTTCTATCTCAGAGGGTCAACTGATTTGTCTTCTCAGTAAATTACGCCTGCTTTCCATCTTTTCAAAAATTTGATACATAGCAAAGCGAGGTGCTCCTCTCGGCAAAATAAAACAGAAAGCCTATGATGTCTGGCTTCCTGGGAGAGAAGATACTTTTAATATTTTAAGTTCCCCGTATTCTCCACATACTCAAGTCAGTGTTCACATTAAAAAAAAAAAATCTGAACTGCTACGCTACCAGAAATCCCCATGATCTCCAATTCCAGAGATAAAATGAGTCTATGTATTCACCAGTGATCTGTGTCATCCTAAACGGTGGTATTTTTAACTACAAAATAGATGAATGGAGGCCTGCTACTCTACGCTGTAGTTTCTGGCATTCAAAGTCTGGAATTCAAAGTCAGCTCTGTTGAACAGTATTAATACAACCTCTAACAACATTTGGCATGTGACATTGATTAAGGCCTGAACATCAGCAAATAAACCTAGTAGTTAAATAAAACCTATTAAACTCCATGGAGGCATCTTTCACTATTTTGTGAAATAAGGAAAGGAAATCTTAAGGCAACTAATTAAAAGGAGAACTTTGTTGCACACAACATAATTAAAAAAAAAAAATTTCCAGCCCTATCTTTGATCCTAGGAAGCACACTTGCTGACAAATATCTCATCTGCTTCTAGGTCTATAAAATGGAGTAGTGGGGTCAGATGTCAAGAGGTTGAATTCTCTGCTTCTCTAGGTTATAATTTCATTCTCCTGACCTCTGCTTAGTATAGTTAAATTATGCTTGCTATTTTTATATATTTATATGGTGGGTATGTCAGTTCAATAATCTTTTGAGGTGTGCTTTATTTGGTTAACAAAACCCATACATGGCCATATTCATTTGTTAATTACTAAAACTGAAAGAAAACTGGTATGTGATAAAAGGAACACAACCACCTTCTGAGAAAACTATTCTTTTTTATATCACAAGTTCATAATACTAAAAGTATATCGGTTATTAGTACTAAGGATGATACGTATAAGTGCATCTTTGAAATGAGGGTCAGACACACAATTGAGGTAGTTGGAACTCACAGGTGCCACTAATCTTAAAAATACTTAAATATAAGAGATAGCTGAAAATATATCCCGTGTGAAAATGAAAATTTCTGCATTGAAGAGTTCTTTAAAAATGAAAGAAAAATTCTAAAGAGAAAATACAGAGAACACTAACATTTTTTTCAGCACGTACTACGATGGTATTTGGGGGCAATTAGACACATTTTTTTCCCCTAGAAGCGATATTATCACAGATACCTAAAAATTAGATTTGTCAAACAAATTTGTGAGCTGCTTGATTAGAAAACAGATCTTTGTGAAATGGAATTTCAGAACCACGCCGGAAAAAATATTATATTCTCTAACAAAAAACCTAAAGCAAACAAGACAAGACAGTGCTTCAATTAGAGAGAAAATTTGCTACAGTAGTGGCTTTCAAAAGATTAAATCTTCCTTTGAACAACTTTAACATGAGGATGACGAATTTTTCAAAATTTATTTTCATAAAAACCAACAGAAAGATTTTAGGGACATTTAAAAAATAAATTATATGCACAGCATAAAATCACACTTTAGGAGAGACAAGATAAGAGCGTTATGATTACTTTTGTACTACACCTTGCCAACTAAACTTTCTATTAGTGACTGTTCTTATAGAGGGAGATACTGGGACTCAGGAAGTAGAATAAAAACTAGAATCGACTTCTTACCTCATGTTGTCATGAGAATGTTTCAGAAAACTCCAAAGGCTACTCATGGAAGCCACTGATAAGAACAGACTATTTTTTCACATGAAGCCATTCTACCTTGCAGCAGCTGGAAGGCCAAACCCAAGGGTTTAAATTTCAAAGCAGTTTACTGGGGCCAATTTGCCCTTTCAGTTGGAATGCCTTTTGTTCTGTTCCAGGAAATGTTGGAGAAGACACATTTCCGAGCCCCTAAACACGTTAAGCGACATGGGTCCTTCTCTTAAAGATTTCTCTTTTTGTGGGACTGCTATGTCAAAAGGCATAAATAGTCAGCGAACCGAAATTCTCAAATGGCATAAGTTTTTTTTTTTTTTTTTTATCCTGAGTAGTAATGGATCGTGTTTGGCAAAACACACTTCTAATCAAACTTTGTGCTCATCGGGTCCACATTATGGCTTTCATGTGATAGGACTCGACTTACTATTCTAGTTTTTGTCAATTCATATTATTAGAAACTGCCAAAATGCTCACGTATAATAGGAATAGTAATAAAAAGTACTGCACCTACTAAGTAAAGACTGGACCGATTTCTTGTTATTTTAGCTCTCATCTATTTCTCGTGCTCAAGAAAACACACACACACACACACACACACACACAAAATCAGTCTCTAAAGCGGTAAGGTAAATATGAATACAAGATGAGCAGTTATTAAAAGGAACTGCAATTTTGTAGGAGGATTTGAGACTGCCAGCCCCTTAAGCATTATTCAGATGGTTTGAACACAGGTGCGGCTGCTGGCTAGAAGATGGAGCAGAAAGAAGGGTCTGTATCTTCGGTTTCATGTGGGACCACCCTTGGTCTCACTCTCAGCTTTCTGGAAACAGCAATCAATTCCTATTAGAACACACCCTCATCAAAACACTAGGATGAGTGGTGTCTGGGGACTGGCTACTGAAAATCAGAATTTGGAAAATGTGTTATCCCTTTATGCACCCCCATAACCTCAGGCTGGGAATGTTGTGAAGATATAAAAGGAATAAGAAGTACAATGCATACTGTATTTGTCTGAGAGTTGATGACTGCTTTAAAATTTAAGGGTTTTTGAACTGTGTCCAAGTGACCCTCGTGTTATTAAACTATTAGAAATAGCAAAATGGTTCTAAAATGAACCATGGAGTTCATGTCTATAAAGATGACAAAAGGAGGAGTATCTCCAGCACCCCTACTACACACGATTTTAGAATAAAGACTCAAAAATAGGCTACAATGTACTAATTTTTAGCAGGAGGGATTCCTAGGAATTCAAAGGGGGGAGTTGGGTCCCATGACCATGTGCAGGAAATGGATGAGAAGACTTAAATCAAACTGGTTTATTGTTCTCCGTTGGTGGTCTTTGTAACTAAGATACCATGTCACTGCTGGATAAAATCTGTATTACTCTTACACTCTGTGCCTGTTCATCACCCAACTGTATTTGAAGGCTCAAGATTCTTAGAAAAGACAAAGTGAATATTATGTGACTACTCTAATAATAAAATTACTGTGAAACCAAGTCCTCAGGGGGAAATGGACATAATGTTTCTACTAGAAAAGCCACATACTAAAATGCATCATGTCATACAAACATGTCATTAGAAGTGAAAGTTGTAAGCCAGATTAATTCAGGAACCAGATAGATATTCCAGGGTAATCTTTAGCATATGTTGCACTAAATCAATCTTGGTAGTCTGTTCCTTCAACACTGTTTGCTTTGAGGTTTAAAAACATGGGAAGTACCATGCATTAGGAAGCAGGCCAGTTAAAGACTAATGGAACAATAATAGTTATTATAACCATTATGTTAGTTTTATGCCCACTTCCCTCCGAGAGGAAGGGAGAGTGTGTAGTCCCAAACAATCAGGGGTCACACCCTGGGAACGTATACAAATGGGATCTCCCATGGGGAACTGGAGCACTCTTGTCCTTGAGTAATATCAGGGGACCGTGCCAGGCGAGGCAGTGCTCTCAAGCCTTTTGGCCCAGAAGACATATTGGACGTTATAGGTAAGAAGGAAATATGTAGATAGCAAAATATATATGGCTGCATCCTCCAGATATTTCCATCCTCTATAAACTGGCATCTAGTCACTCACTACACTTCCTCCTCTGCGTGCATGCTGGCATGTAGAGGCCCTGGCCTGGACAGCTTCTGATATATGGCCAGGAATACTGCACTGAAAGGGTTTTAGGAATATAGTTCAAAAGTTCTGATGGTGGTAATTCTGGAAGCCCCTGGACTTAGCTCTTCTCTTTAACTGAGTACTATACCTGCTGAACTAGTGAGAATCCATGTTGTGTTCCATGCATTATATTCATATAATTCCAAGGAGCTTACTAGGCCCTTCCAATTCAGAAATGTCAAATGCAACCTCCAGAGTTTGCTGGCAAGGCTTCAGAGGAAAGTAGTGGACTCTATGCCCCAAGTAAAATAAGTTACACTTCTTTTGAAAATCCATGGATGAGTTTGTTCTTCTTAAGCATTTCTCAAAAAATGGTATTGGGCATTAAAGAGCAAAAGCAAACAAAACAAGAAACAGTCATCACTCCGCCCAAACAAGTCATCCGATGCTTCGGTGAGCATCTGCCATCTTTGAAATGCACAGGCCAGAATGGGGGCAAGGGAGCTGATTCCAGGGGGTCCCCTTCTGATGGTTCTAAGCTTGCATCTCCCTCCGTGTGCATTTTGTCATTCTATGATCAGTTCAGGATATTCACCGACTGCCAGGAGGACACATTATAACAGGAAGCTCAGAGGTGGGGTAATGATCTCCTCCTGAACTGAAAAAAGCAGCTTCCTAAGACATCAATGCAATTTATGAAAAGATTGCACTGCCTTGCACTTTTTCACCAAGAAAACTTAAAAAATGTGATGTCCATGTGTTAGTGCTTGAACCCCATTCTTACAGCATTAGTAGTGCTTACAGTCATTTTCTACAGAATCATGTGTGTAATCTCAAACATGTGTCAGGTTATGTGTTCCCTATTTACCAATTATTTAATTAGCTCTGTTTGTTCTTTGAGATAGAGGCAATGTAATATTTCTTTATTTCCTGCATTTCAGAATGAGTGAGTATATGCCAAATATTTTCAAAAGTCTACAGATGTATCCTATTAATCCATACTGTTTGTTAGGGAAGTACCACTAACATCAGAAGGGAAATCTTCTCTTCTTGCTATACAGACATGCGGCCATTCCTGACTTCTACCACACTCTAAAAATCGATCCAAAGCCTAAGAAAATTGAAGTGGAAATAAACACGAGCTACTCGACACCGTGCAATCTTAAGGCTTATTATCATATTTAAATTTTCCTCTGTATTTCAATGTAAGGAATTGGAGGACGTATTATTTTAAGAAAGAACATTCCAGAATATTCTCCCTTAACAAAATCCTAAAGTCTAACTGCATTTATGCAAGTTAATAAAGGTCTGTTCCTCCAAAAAACTGAATTACCATGTACACTTGTTTCCTGAGAAGATTATAAAGCTTTCTCACATTCTGCTAATAGATTTTGACAAGTATACTCATGATCATGGGCTAATTTATGTAATAAAGTTATTCTTAAAAACCCTTTTCTGGGTTCCAGAAATCTCATACTTTCCCCTTTAAAATTATGGCTCTTTTATTATTGTTGAGACCCTTCCTCCTCTTTAAACAGGGCCCTGTGGTGTATATCATAAGTTCACTCCGTCTTTAGTGTGTGGTTGAGCCTGTTAGCATTCAGAAGTCACCTACTGCTCCCCTGCCGCCCAGACCAAATGAAGGACAGCAGACATTCCTGTTCATCCACAGGCTAATGATGAGTCAACTATCTTAAATAAATCTCATTTCCACTGAGACTTGTGGGCATCCTAACCACAGCTCATAGAGAATGATTATTCCATTTCAAAATATCTCTTTCTTCCCAAGTTGGGGTACCTCTCTCCCAGAAAGACTGTTTAGTAGACCAATCAACAAAAATTTTTTTCAAACAATGCCCAAGCATGTTTTCCTCAACTCGAGCTTTTGCTCCACCTTTATACCTTCCTAAAAAAGAAAATTACTCAAACCACAAGTAGACAGGAAATCTGCCGTGTAAGAGGATGAATGACCGGTCATCCTTCTTTATAACAAGACCTCATGACTGCAGAAAGGGGCTTTCCATTTGTCAAACCACATTGAAGTGAAATATGCTTTTCTCACCCTTTCAGTTCTGCACTTCTTTCTTTCTTCTTGTTTTTCAAATCTGCCAAAACTGCATTGATAGCCAACCCAACTTCCCCATGTGACCTCTGTCCACTCCTCTCCAAGGTCAAACTGATGCAACACATTTGTAAATGCTTTGTTATGAAAAGTTACGAAAATGGAAACTCTTGTAAATTTGCTTCTTACTGAGACATGATAGTGAAGGGCTGCGAGGTGGCTCATCTCAAGTGTGAAATACATTACTGAATAAGCAGGGAGTGTATTATCTAGGCAGAATTATATTTGCAACATTTCAAAGCACATCTCTTCCCTTTCATCAAAAACTCTCCCACATAAGTGATTCACACCACTTTCCTAACTCCTATGGACTCTCTAAAGAAAATGAAAAACTGCAGAGAGCTAAGGGGAATAAACAGTAGGATTATTGTCACACATTCTTCTCTATAAAACATACAACTAATGTTCTCTTCTCATCGGGGGCCCACTGGAAGAAATCATGAGGCCAAGCAAGGTGTGAGTTTGAGCTAGGACCAGAACAGTGGCGACCAGCGAAGTCTAAGGTTTTAACGAGACCCCAGAACATCAGTCTGTGTGATTCCTATGAACGGCAAAGTTGTTAAAGGCAGATTCAGAAGGGGGTGGCTCCCTCCTCCCCAGCCTGGACTCTTTCCTCTGGGGGCAGTCGGACACCTGCCTAGCTCCTCCCTCCAGGAGGGAGTGCTGGTGGGAGGAATCATCTGTCTGGAGAGAGAATCACAACGGACATCATGAGAAACCAGAGGATGATGGTTTAGTTCACTGGGAAGCAGCACTCTGCTTGGGCCTCAATTCATTAGTAAACCTGCTTGAGAAATGGCAGTGAATCATTTCTGGCCCTGATGCCCAGGCATCGCCTCTGCAATAAGTAACCAAATGGTTCTTCCCCTCTGAAGGATTCCATGATGCCACATTCTCCGGCAGGTGAAGCCATCTAGTTATTAATAACCCCCACGAATTTCACAGGAACTAGTCTTTGGAAGGCTCTGGTATGTCATGGTTAAGAGCTTAGCACGGTGACTAGAATTTGGGAAGTGGTCAATAACTACTATTGAGCTAACTTGCCCCTATCTGACTAGTCTTCAGTGGTTTGTCTTATAAAAGTTCACTTTGCTCAGAGAGTGTGAGAAGCAAGGTAGTTTCGGTCTATTTAAACCTTTGTTTCATCTAATAACTCACAATGAACCAAGTAGTCAAATATCAGTTTCTTGTGACCAAAAAAGTGATTACAGACAAGCCAATGACTATATCTGTTTAGATGTTTAGATTGAACTAACAATACATGTTAGTTCATGTATTTTTTTTCTTTTTCTTTTTCTTTTTTTTAGTTCATGTATTTTCATTCAGTTATGTGACAAATATTCATTGCCTGATTGCTATTCAATTATGAAGAGAAAAAAGAGGTCCTATCTTATTAAACCCTGACCTTGATGGTCGGGTCAGAATCGACATTTCTATGACTCACCCATTATACTGTCTGTCCCGTTGGCAGGAGGTGTACAGGAAGAGGTGCTGTAATGGTTTGTGCCACTACGGTGGAAAGTGGACATCGGAGGAAGACTGGAATTGATGTCTGCTGAGGAGTGTGATGGATAGCTCTGTAGCAAAAAGCAAAAAAAAAAGAAGAAGAGGCCACATTCAACCATGAAATATTTAGTGGGTTAGGTTTCTAATACTCCTTTTGGAACTCTTCATTTTGCAACGGAGACAGCCTTTAGAATTTCAAAATATCCAAGAATACATCTTGCTTAGATGTGACAGCTTTCATTTTTCACATAATAAAATACAAAGACACATAGTTGGTTTGGGTTTGCATCAAATGCAGAAGAGTACAATGGCAATATAGGACAGTGAGAAAAGATCACAATCTCTAAATCTAACAATTACTGCTTAAAAGTATCTCTGAGGTGTCAGCAACATAAAAGACCATCTCTATTGTAATTTTTTGGTCTGAACTATTGATCAAGTAAGAAAGATTCCATGATACAATGAATAAAACAATATTGTGACCTGTGGGGTTGACATTACACTTTATCCTGGACTTTCAGACACTAAATGGCAAAGAGCAGCCAGTCTTAAATCCTCCTCCTACAAAACTGGGCCACCTTTCTGAATTCTAGAATGAACAGAATGGTCAATGAAAAACTTAAAAAGTAACAATGATTAAGTATCTCTCTAAAGCATCAATATGTAAAGCCTTAAATCAACAACTATTTTGAATTACACTGGAATGAATGAACTCAGAAGCGCTGATTTTTCTTTATGCGTCCTCTTCATTAGCAATCTCCTGGATACCTGACTATGAAGAAAGACCATCTTTAAAGAATCATTGGTTTTAAGGTTTGGCATTGAGTTAAAATTATTATCCTAAGTTGTCCAAATACGTTGCTTTTCTTGGGATATATCACAGTGCCTGTAAGATAGCAAATTAGTTGCTACCAATCCATCTGCTTGGGAATGAGCAGATCACTAACAGGCACCAAAAGAAATCGAGCTATTTTCATTCTCAAGATAAAAAAGTAGCTTTAAAAAGTTATTCTTATAGGTATTTGAATGTGTTACAGACATGTAAAACTATTTTGGCTAAAACTGATTTTTTTCTTACATGTACTATATATTAAACCCTATGGATCTTTATTAGATCATGGATCTAGTGGATCTTTATTAGATCATTAGTGGAGATTCGATTAAAATTAGAGATCGAATATGATGCTAAAAGTCAGGGGGTGCTTAAAGCCCAGGCATTTATTCATAGGAGTGAAACCCTGGTGTCTTGGTATTTCTGTATTAATTCTGTGAGGCCCATCTTGTGTTCCACTTCTTCCTTTAGTATTACTTCCTACTTCCAACTCTTGCACAATCTCTTCTCTCTGAATCCCTAATGTGCTCACATTCTGCGCTGTGCCATTTAACAATTATATGCTGCCTGTCATTGCTTTCTCTTTCAAGGACATTTCTACCTATACTGTAAACTCTTTAAGGGAAGGGAATAGAGCATAGACTTCTGCATCCCACAACTTATGGCTGAGTGCTGAATACATAATTATTCTATATCCTCAATGAACCACTGGTTATTGGTCGGCATTTAATAAATAGTGGATTGCAATACTACTTAATTGAGAGAGAACTAAACGGTCTAGAAAATGAACCTACATTCTGCCAATGACATGGTGGATGCCTTTGCCAATATGACCCCTATGCACTCAAAATAGTCCAACTGAAAGGTCAACTTCAGTGAAAAAAGTTGAGATGAAACCCTTAAATCTTTCCAACTTCCCAAGAATGCCTTTCAAACCTTTTAATTTCATGGACCTCTGTGCTTGACCAAAAAATTCCAAGCAGTCCACAAATTTTTTTCCAAACAAGATAGAATGGGCCCATTCCCTACTACAGCTAATCCATAAGACTGGATGAGCCACGGGACACCAGACTTACAACAATGATTTCTGCTTGAAAGCTAAACACTATAATAAAGTAGAGAAAGAGAAACTGAACATAGAAGGAAACTGAAAGAAAGAGATGGTTTAACTTCATTTCTACATAGTGCTAATTCTGTGTTGAGTTTCTGAAGAATAGAGAAACTGTATATAAATCAGTCCCAGATATGCAAACACTAAAACAGAGGAAAAGAAATTTGAAAAATACTTGTATGACTCTATAATCACAGGGTGGAACAGGAAAAAGATTTCCCCATCAGGGAGGACTTCTAGACACTTTTAATATGGTGCAAAATGAGCAGTAATTCAGGGTTTAATAGACAGAGGGATAATACTGAGTTTAGAGAATGACAAGAAAAGTTCTTCCCTGAAAATTTTAATGGGGAAACCAATGCAATCAATCCATGTCATTTTTAGAGACTCATAGAAAATAGGATGCTGAAAGAAGTTAATGAGATTTATAGCCACATTATTTTAAGGAAAAGTATCTTGAAAACTACTGTCACTCAGAGATATAATAAATACACTCCGGAGAATATCACTGGTGTGTGAAGTATGTCTCTTTTAGAGTACTTAGGGACCAATGATGAGAGATCCCCTCAGCCTCTCTTCCTCCGGGTCCTGATACTGCCTGCCCTGCTTGCTACATGGGGAGTTTGAGAAAGTATAACGGCTTTACATGCCCACTATTTAATTATTTTTACTGATGCCCAATTATAGCATATTTGCAGCCTACTGACAGAGTAATGAGTAATGGAAATGTTTCTATTTGTGATATTTTTATCAGCCTATGAGCTGATAATTCAAGGATTAGAAAACACAGCAATTGGTGGCACATACCAACAAAAAAAATCATGCTTTGGGCTCAGGCAAGATTTCACAACCTTGGCACCATTAAAGTTTTGTGCCAGATGATTCTTTGCTGTGGGGGGGTCTCCTACGCACTGTCGTGTGTTTACCAGCATCCCTGGCTTCTATACACTGGATTCCAGTCGGGCTTACCTGCTGTAACATCCAAGAACATCTTCGGACTTTTCCAAATGTTCCCTGAGGGGGTATAATCACACCTGGCTGAGAATCACTGGGGTAAGGGTTTATGTTACAAGAAAAGGACTTCTTTTATAATAAAACTTCAGACTCCTAGGACTATTTTCAACGTGTGGTGCAAAGACCATGCCTAAACCATGCCAGGCAGGGATGCTACTTGCTTCTAAGCAGAACTCTGCCAACATTAAGTCTTCTACAACAACCCATTCCAAAGCTTAACCACAAACTCCATTCCTCAGAGCGATTCTGTGTGTACACCTGTGACATCGGAGTGATTAGCTGTGGGATTGTGTTGTAGAAGCTGAAGCTGTAAAGGGGGATTTAAAGAAGCAAAATTGGTGACTTGACAGTTGCTACTGAAATGTGTAGGTTTTAGGCTTTATAATTATAGACTCTACGACAACACAGGATAAAGCGATGAAGACCATAATGTTTCTAAAATACTGTATCTTTTGGGCAGCCCGGGTGGCTCAGCGGTTTAGTGCGGCCTTCAGCCCGGGGCGTGATCGTGGAGACCCGGGATCGAGTCCCATGTCAGGCTCCCTGCGTGGAGCCTGCTTCTCCCTCTGCCTGTGTCTCTGCCTCTCTCTCTCTGTGTGTCTCTCATGAATAAATAAAATCTTTAAAAAATGTTTAAAAAATAAAATAAAATAAAATATTGTACCTTTAGAGACAATACTAATTTGTCTCTAATACAAGGAAAATGCTCTTCTTCTAACCAAACTATTCCTTTATTCTGTGTGAGACTGGCCAAAAGCTACAGGCAAAAATGAGGAACTACCACTATTTCCAAGTGAAAGGACCCTAACTGCTTATTGCATACCCAAATTATTCTCCATCAGTGTCAGATTTCTGAAAGGCCTTGCAGCAAGAGATTTTCAAATGGTTAAACTGAAATTACAATGATTACTAGAAATAATAATCCAACAGTTTCCCTATCAGTGAGAAAATTCATTAGGATACATTACCAGAGACCTAATTCATTTACCATTTTTTTGAAACAAACCCTTAATCTCTAAGATCTGCTAAATAATCATATTAAGAATGAAAACTCCATGTTCTGTGTTGGATAAATGACATTACAAATACAGCATCTGATACAACCTGTTGGGTTTTTCCTTCGAAATAATCTTTCTTCCTGGTTGATAACACTGTTTTGGTATTTAAGGTTTTCAGCATTTTTTTTTTTTCTAAAAGGAATGTAACTGGTTCCCTTTTTAAAATTACACTTTTTATGCATGGGAGCATATTTTAAAGATACCTCCGCCCATGCAGTGAATTCGACTGGGATAAAATCAAACCACCTACATCAAAATTCTAGAGCATGATGAGGAAAGAGAGAAAGGAATATAGGAAGAATGAAAATATGTCAAAAGAACAACTCTTAGAAGGACCGATATTCCATGTTAAATGTTAGTACACTGCCAAAAGCTTTTATTTGTAATCAAAATTTTCCTTGCTTACAGGACACATGTAGCTTTGATCATGAGTTCCTTAGAGAAATACAATGTGATTAAGGGGAAATAAATATGTTGGTCAAGAAGAAATTCTAGTATAATAATAGTTGATACTTTTCAAAGCTTTTGCTCTAAGACTTCAAAGTAGGAATTGGAAGAAGATAAAATTTGCAAGTAAATCATTTGCTACTTACTGAAGATGTGCTGAAATTTGAGATAGTTTGATGGACATATTCAAACTTGGCAGATGATATAAAAAGGCCTATTCCATCTCCATCATTTGCCTCTCATTAACAGCTAACTGACCACAGTGTCTCTATCACCAGAACTAGTTAAATAGGTATTTCCAAGGATATCAGAAACCGTAACTTCTGGAATGTTTTATTTTGTCAGAGTAGAATATAAGTCACCTTTTCTATGCCTCTAGCGGTGAAGAAAAGAGAGGAAAGACTACAGAAATCCAGAAAGTCCTATTTCCTATCGCAGAGCAGAGAAAGACACATGAACCTGGGTATCAGGAGAAGAAAAAGGGACAATTTCAAGATGAAGAGTAGTGACAATAGTACCACGTTATCATGCCCTTTTGCATTTGTAGAATTACAGCTTCAAACATTTTTTAAAGCTATTTTACTGCACAAGGGCTTCAGTTCCATACCTCCATCGCAAACCTAACCATGATCTTCATGTAATGCTAGACTTAAGTTCCTACGAGGATTCTGGGCTGTGGGAGTTTTTGAGGCTGGAAAAGATCAGATGAACTTCCTTCCTCCAAGATGAAGGGACACACTAGGATGGATGAGTGTAGGTGATGGGCAGAGTGGACACTTTAGTAATGAAACAGGATAGCATTCTACAGCTCAGCAGTTTTCAACCGAGTGAGGCAACTGAGCATCAGTGGGAGGTTCAGGGGTGTGTAATTACAACTAAACCACTAAAAACTGGGAATCTGATCTATACAGAAACCCCATGGTTGCTGTGACTAGTGGAGTATATGGGAAACAGGAACTCTTTCCTTTGGGTGTGGCACCCTGGGTCGAAGCTGTCACCAGGGACAGAAGCCAATAAAGGGAAGTGGAAATGCACATGGGACATACAGGCCACCTACTCCCAGGGTACCGACGGTCACTCTGCCCCCTGCAGTATATTCTTCAAAACTACAGACAGCAAATAAATAAAAGACAAGGATCCACCATAGCTGAAACTGCACAACTCAAATACAGTGTGTATTTATGTTGGAAAGGGGCTAACATTGTCGTCAAGAAAGCACAGAACTAAACACCATCAGCAGAAGAACAATGGCGAAGCGAAGCTGGAAGGGCTTACGGAGGCGATCTCATTCAGGTAGGTCTTTGATCACAGAAACAAGATAACTCTAAGAATAATGAGCGTATGCCATTTTTACATTCATTACAGAGTCCTGCGTCCATGCATGGAAAGGCAGAGAATGAGACTTTGTAAACTAGCTGTGTGGTCCCCATAACCATGCAAGGCTGCCTTACCAAGCGTTCGTGTGGATGCAGGCTACAGTAGCTGCTAGACTGTGGAATATGAGAAGAACTGCCCAACATTCCTCCGTAGCCAGGCTGATTCATCCCACTGGAGGAGCTCCAAGGGTCACTGCTGTGATGGCCATCTGTAAAGGACAAAGACAACCATGACTTTTGGGAGGCATTCAGCCTTGCCCTACAGAATAGGGGTTTTTCATATACTTGAAAATGGCTACCCGTTGTGTATTCATCTTTGTGCTGTTTCGCCAATTACATCAGAAGGCAGTCATCCTTCTTTTTTCCCAAGTGGCTCTATATTGCCAAACAAATGTAAACATTTACCATAGGCGGTGTCCTTAGTAAAAATTCAGCTCCGAAAGAACAACAGAACACATTTCTACACAGAATTATGTCAAGTCAGCCAGGTAAGTGATACTAAAGAAAACATTTCTTTGAAGTTCCCTGACCTCTTTTTCTATGAAAACTAACAGCTAAATTGTTTCTAAATTCTGTGATGAAAAGAAAATACTTGACACATTATAGAGCTGACCAGTTTACAGGTTTTAAATGCATATGAAGAAGTAAGAATGAAAAAGAACATCTCAGATTTAAAAGATCAGATTTCTGTAACATATAAGATAGATTTAAAGTTGAAATTATGTTATGATTTATAGGGAACAGTGGTCTCAGATATGTAGTTCTGAGTTTTCTTAACTTCTATTTTTTTTTTGGTGCATAGTCCTATAGTGTCTTAAGCCTCTGGTAGCAACTAAAAGGGTGCACACATATCGTAAGGTAGATATTACACTAGAGACAATTTTGAGAGGGTCTGGATTTTATAAAATTATGAGTTAATATAAGTTAAAAAGAAACTTAAAATGATGTGGACCTTATATGAATACCTTTTGATATTAAGCTAATCTTTTGTTACTGTCATATTAAAAACATTTTTATAGATTCTTTTTCTTCTCTGAGTCTATTGGCCTAGAAGTTACTATTAGGGATCACTGATGTTTGGTTTGGGTTTCTTAAAACAAAGGCGGTTGGTAGGGGTGGGGTGGGTGGGTGGGAATCTGTGTTGTTGCTGAATTCAAATTTTCCCTTCTTTCAATAGTTGAACAGAAATTACTGAACACCAGTTGAATAACATTCCATCAGCTAGGTGTTCACAGCACAGCAGGTACTGCCTCCTTGAAAATAAGATTATTTTCACTGTATATATCATGTAATAAAGGCGTTTTGAAAATTTAGGCAATGGGCAAGTTAAATCCGACACTATATACCACAAAGCTTTTTTTTCACTGAGCTTTTAAATCTAGGAGTTAGAATTCCAAAAACTGGAATAGTTTTAGGACAGGGAGGAACGATCAATAGATTTCTCAAAAAAAAAAAAAAATCTTGTCCGTGATTTCGAAAACTTAAGAGTTTTAATTAGAAGATGGAAATTCAAGTGAAAAATAAGAGGTCACATGGCAGTGAGTTTAAAATATGCTCCTGACAGTGTCTGAATATCTTTCACCCAAACCATATGATTTTTTAAGACCTGAATCTTCAGGGCACTAAGCACCCATCACTAAAGAAGCTGAAGTGAAACAGGATCATGAGGTTCTGTTTCTGTGATCATGATGGGAAAACATAGGACTTTCAAAAAGTTATTATTCATGTACTTAAGACTTAGTCTTCAAATTGTGGAAGTTTAGATGTCACCTTAAATTCAAATATGAAATTAAGGCCCTAACATTTCAAATAGTTGGCATCTATGACAAACAAATTAAGAATATGTATCATTGAATGAGAGTCTCCTGAAACATTCTGACAACATGATGCACTATATGGAAATACATTTAGGATTTGTTAACACAGAACACTCTACTCAATGCAGACTTATAAAAATACATACTTTACATAAATTATGCTTTTCACAGTAAATTAATATTTATCACATCCCATGATCTTGGCATAATGTTGTTTTGAGAGAATGGAATTAGATGTGTGCAAATTAATTGTGCTCATCATAAATGTCAACCCGATTTTTTTTTTTTTTTTTTTTTTTTTTGCTTTTCTGGGTATTCATATGCAGAAAAGCAAGTTTGTTCCCCATATTCTGTGTGGTCTGCTGTGGAGAACAGCCTACTGTTTTAATCTACCTGACCTCCCACATGGTGTGCACAGTTTAAGCAAGCACCTTCCTGAACGCAGATAGAAGAAATCTATCCTGTCAATTTTCTCAGTGAAAATCTGCTTTGAGTGATGAATCCTTGAATTGACAATCTCCATAAGCACCGCTAGCATAGTGCCTCTGACTGGTTGCAAAAGAAGGGAGCTGATGCCCAAGTGGCTGCTGTTTACAGCTAAAGGGTATGATAAGCCTTTTGTCATGGCCCAGGACGCCCCCAAGTGACATACCCTGCTGGGTCCCTTTGTGAGTTCCACCTAGGACAGGTCACAAAGATAAAGGACCCTTATGAACCTGAGCTCTATTATGTGCAGAACAAATTGTCTTCATTCCTGTGAGACCTATTTGATTCAATTTTATAGATTTTCCATGGAATTTCACATGTGAACTAGCAACTGGAAAAAGCTAATACTCTGAAGGGCAAGAAAATAAGTCCCTTTTAATCAGGATGATTTTGAGTAAGTCTGCTGCAAGCTAAGTGAGACACCAAGCTGCTCCCCAGTTGCTTGCTGCTCCAAGGGTGCTCCCTTTCCCATGACATGGCCCTTCCTAGATTATCAGAAGGAAATCCCATGGCACTTGTCCAAGGCACACTCAAAAGAGGTTTTCACACCCAGGCAAAAAGAGTTCAAAGTTCTGCATACAGGTACAGGAGTTCTTGGTAAATCCCACATCTAAATTTCAGAGTATTAGCCTGGCAACAAGACCATCATATTTTGACAGTAAGTGCCACAGGCTTATCCAAGAGGAAGTCTTAGGTGCATCCTCTGGATAGTCTATTCTAACAAGCAGCTGTTGTCTTTCTACTATTCCAGCCTTCTCCACGCAGCAGAAAGGAACCGTGCTACCGTTGGCCAGATTGTAAGCTCGGGATGGGGGTGGGGAGGCGCACATCCATGTACATTCAATTAAATACATGGCACAATTAAAAGAATAAATATATTTCATTCACTGTGAAACTGTAATTTTTGAAATTTGTCTGGGACAAAAGCTGGGTCTTTTATCCTAAAGCAATAAGCATGCCGACGTGGAGCTTTTGCTGTGTAATTTAATAATATTCCGGTCCCGAGATAGACTGCTTCATCTTAAATGGGACTCTTGTTCTTACCTATAAATTAGTAAGTGGCTGAAATTTTTACATGAAGTTATACATAAGGACAATTTGTTCCCAGTTGGCTAAATCCAGGATGCTCAAAATACACACTGAACCCAAACACTTCTAAAAATACACACACGTTCTTCTTGGGGAGAGAAGGAGCTGAAATGATCTGTCATGGAAGACGGTCCCCAAGAAGCGTCAGTTCCAAAGGAAGTCAACCAGTTTGATGTTAACTCATCATTGCTCAAGGGGCTTTGATTTAAAAAAATAAGTCTGAGTAAAGTTTTAATTAACTGATTAATTTTTAATGAATCTGATGCCTAAAAAGGGCATGACCTTCATGTTCTCCCCTGGCCTCGTATTCCACTTCTTATCTGTTCAGCAGTTTTCCCCCCATATATGACCTGAGAAGACCCAGGGAGACTCTGCCCACTGGATTTCCCCGCAGAAGTGGCTGCATCTTACCCTGCATGAAGAAGGAGCTAGGGAAAGTGCTGGCTGCTGGTTTCGAGGAAGGGTAGCCTGGCGAGTCCCTATTGTAGTCGGCAGTGCTTGCTGATGGAGCATAAACCTGAAGAAGGAGAGACAATTTAGTTTTGCTTGCTGCATTGACCAAAGCACCTCAAGGTCCATTACTTTATAAGAAGCAGGCACAAAATGCTAAATTTCTACCATGCCCTTTCCAAATCTGATCAAACCCTAGAACACTGCCCCTTTCAGAATACAGAAGAACAAAAAACAACAACAAAAATGCTGAGTATATTGGTGTGACTGGAAAACCAGCAGGGGGGGTTAAGGGGTGGGTGGATATTTTCCAGTCTCAGGCAAGAATACTGCAAATTACATCTAGTTAAATATATTATATAATACCCACAGGGCTGTCCTGTCCAAGCATCTTTTTTTTTTTTTTAAACCTATATGGCCTCTGAGCACATGAAAGGTGCAAACGAAAGGGCACGCATCAACCCTCTTCTTTTTACTTCATCTTTCAATTAAAATGTTCGTTTCTGAGAGAAAGACACAGAGAAAACAAATGCACTATCCAGACCACAGAAAGTGACAAATACATCTTGGAATATTAAATTCCCATAGTGTCAGCTTTTTGCAGAGATGCATGAAAAAGGCCATTAAAAGCCCAGATCTACATAGACCACCAACAATCAGTACGTACACAGGAAGGGGGGGGAGCGCTTCTTTATAGTTCTTATTATATTTGTGTGTGCAATAAACTTAAAAAAAGTGTGCCAAAATCCTACTTTACTGAACATTCGTTTACTAATACTCTTGAGACTGGGGGAACCAGTCCCTTATAAAAATAGCCTGTGTATTTTCTTGTTTATGTTTCCTCTAAAGAAGACAGCATAGTAGAAAAGCATAAATTCATAAGGTATAGTTTAACTTTAATTGGTTCCCCCCCTTGCCTTTTCTGCTAAATATAATTTTTTCAAATCCCTATTTTCTTTTGCTCCAAAAGTTCCTCTCTCCAGATGGTCGGAGAGACTGAAACACTGTCATCCTCTTGATGAAAATGGATACCTTCCTGCCTCCATTTTAAAGCAGGCAGCGGCTCACAAAATTGGCAGTGAGCCTACAGTGATATTCACAGGTCACAGTAAAAGAAAGAGAAATTCACCAATAAAAAGGCAACTGCAGAGTTACCAAAAAATACTCCCATTTTTTTTTTTTACCGTGCACATCGAATAAACACCCTAAGAAAAATTATATAATTGTTCTCAGAACACCATGAATCACAAACTAAGCATTAATACAAGGTTTAGGATTTCACAAAGGATAGGTCCACAGAGACAGATGTGGGAAAATATGCATACACATACATACATCAAATAAATGCGACATATGCCCCACAGTGCCCTTGAAAATTGGGAGGTCCTGGAGAATGAACAAAACAAAAACAAACCAGAAGAACCCAGGCACACATTAGAAAACATGGCATTTTCTTCAGTCATGGAGGGATACAGACCCCACATTTCATAGACTACATTTCATTTTTTAATTATCCTCATATTTTAAATATATAAATGCCTACTTGCTTCTATTGCCACGGGGCTTACAAGAAGGGAGACATCTTTGCAAGCATCTTTAAGAGAAAAAGAATAAACCTTAGCCAGGAATCTCCAAACACATCAATACCCTTTAAAGTCCTATCACGCAAAGCCCAGGATTTTCTTGAGAACTATACAACTAAGCAACAGTTAGGGAAATACTACTGAATGTATTTAAAGAAGGTCTTGAGAGTAGGCTAAAAACATGAAAGAAACATTACTGTCTAGAAAAAGAGGAAATTGAAAATTAGATCATCTCATTCTAATGACAAAATGAGCGCAACATAGCTATTCCACCCACTACAATATATCTGTGGTCCAGGCTTTTAGCCTGACAGCTACTTGGCCAGTTGGTATTAACACAAGCTAAGGGTACTATGTGCTATCTCCAAACTTCAGAAATCAGTACATTTACTATAAAGCTGAAAATAAACTTTGACCCATATTATTAAATCATTTGATATTTTTAAACAATTGAAATAAGTTCTCCTAGGAAAATATATAGCATAATTTTAATTATGCTCTACTACATTATCTTTAAACATGTACATTATTATGTTAATACCATTTGATGGCACCTAACAGGGTCCACTCCCCGCCCCGTGGACAGAATTAGTTGATATTTCTTCTAGGAGATAAGGACAAGTCTTTGGTAATTCGGCCAATGTACAAGGAGGCTACCTGGACTATGAATTATGATCAAGCTCAAAGATCTGAGAATAAGATCACTTATCCCAAATTTGTAATTACCACCTGCATAAAGAGTATCTATGGGGTTACAAGATTTTTAGGATATAGTATACTATATAATTTCTATTTTTCCAGTGTTGTGGTCAAATGAAGACAATTTAAATAAGATGGAAATCTTATTAACAAAAAACAGACCATTGTTTATAGAAAAAAAAGGCAATTTCTGCATAACTTATAAATTTTGCTTATACCATAAATTTACACATCAGGTAAAATGTTATTCTCTTTCCATTATGTACTTCATCTTTCCTACTTCCCAAGTTATTTTTAAGGTAAGCACCCTATATAACTGTTTATATAAATAAACCTTACATAGAACTATTATACTTTTTTATGATTTTATTTTATTTATTTTTTATTTATTTATTTATGATAGTCACAGCGAGAGAGAGAGAGAGAGAGAGAGAGAGAGAGAGAGAGAGAGAGGCAGAGACACAGGCAGAGGGAGAAGCAGGCTCCATGCACCGGGAGCCCGACGTGGGATTCGATCCCGGGTCTCCAGGATCGCGCCCTGGGCCAAAGGAAGGCGCCAAACCGCTGCGCCACCCAGGGATCCCTATGATTTTATTTTTAAGAAATCTCTACACCCAACATGGGCCTCGAACTCAAAACTCCAAGATCAAGAGTCACATGTTCTACTGACCGTGTCAGCCAGACGCCCCTACCTTTTTTAAAAGCAGAAGGAATTAGAGAAATTAGTTATCAGTTCAGCTCCTCTCACATGTTAATTACAAGAAATTCAAAAATGGAATAGTCAAAGCAATCGCTCAAGATTTGCAACTTGCCCATCATTACACAACTATCAATTTCTCTTAGTTTAGGTTACTTTCTTTAAAAAGGGTGGTGCAGGTTTAAGATGTTATTTATGAAAGCAGATTGATCATAACGTTGGTACTTCAGTTCATCCTTAATATTTTCATCTTATTAACCTGGATAACTAGGAAGCTGCTTCATTATTTTTAATTCAGTCAACTATTTTGCCAATTTCTCAATCAAAAGACTTCAAAGTATGGGTTTCAATAATGTACTTAATAGAGACACTAAATTTAAGAAGAAAAGCTCATATCCAATTAATTTTAATTATTACTATTTTAGGTAATTGGAACCATGACTTAAATATTTGTTAACTAAAATAGTTTTTTATTTAGCAGAACAATGACAAACATCCCAGATATCTTCAAATAGTTGGAGTCATTTTAATGACTAACACCAAAAAATCAGTCCAGTAAAAAATAAAATAAAAATCCCCAATTCTAGTTCTGTGTATTGAAGTGACCCCACTATGAAATATGAGGAAAAGTCTAAAGGGAAATAAAAATCTAATCTACACTTAAGTTTTTCTCTGATAAGGTAGCTTAGATCAAGGTGTCTTTTGGCATTCTGATTCCTCCCACAAGAGTAACCAAAGAAGGGTGAAAGTTTTGTCGCAAAATTGGAAATGGGGAAACTTGGCCAAAGCTCACAGGCTACGGCTCTTTTGGTGAACTGTTTGTTGAATAAAAACTTTATGGGGAACTAACAGCAAAGCATAGTTTATGTCCGAATTTACCACCATTATCTTTTCCAATTCTGAATTTAAAACAAAATCATATATATACAGATTCAGAGTTTAAAAAGTTTCTCCAGATAACAAGAAACCCTGAACTGATAAAAATTTTTTTAATTTCATTTTACATATTTAGTTTTTGTTGTATCTTGAGAAGTATTGCTATATTACGTTAGCTGTTTCATCCAGTGGCCCTGATTATCCTTTGCTCAAAGAAATAATACTATACTTTCTTTTAAATAGAACCTCTGCCTATTAGAAAAGAAGAAAACCAAGCAAACATTCACATTGAAGGGAGGAGAGTGTGTATCCTATCTTTCCCCATGGTGTTCTCATTTTTATCTGCCTTGGCAGATCAGTTTCACTTATAATATTTAAAAAATAACAATGAACCATTTGGTTAGGGCCTCTTGTGGAATAGCTTTTGTGCTAGGAACTCTACATATGTTACTTCTGATTTTCCTAAGGGTCATAGAAGATGGTTATTATTTTATTATTAATAGCCTCATTTCTATTTCATGGGGCCTAAGTATCATAGATCAAATGGATCCGCCCAAACCAGCCTGAGCATGACTACAAGTTCCACCATTTGCCAGTTAGACAACCTTAAACCTGTTCCTTTAAACCTCTTTGGTCTCCAGATTCCTATCTGTAAAATGGGAATGACGGACCCTGCTACGCAAAGTTCGTATGAGAATAAAATGGTATATTGTGTGTGAAACAACCAGAAGAGTACGTATTAAACATTTAAAAAACACATCAGACAATAGGGTTTATGTTGTGCTATTTTTTTATTAACTGAACAAATGTGACTCAGGAAAGTTAAGCCACCTTTCCTTCATTAACAATTGATCAGGTGGGTGGGATGCGAGAAATGGGTAAAGGAGATTTAGAGTGAACTTGTTGTGATGAAAACCAAATGGTGCATGGAAGTTTTGAATCACTAAATTGCATACCTGAAACTAATATTACACTGTATGTTAACTAACTGAAATTTAAATAAAAACTTTAAAAATGAAAAAAAAACCAATCAAGTGGTAAGGGCAGGACTTAAATGGTCATCAGAGTCCATATTTTTGCTATTAAAAAAAAAAATCCCCTGCTCTGAAAAGGCAAAAAGAGATATTTTGAACTATCAACGCTCTACTCTGACCACAGTTTATAGAAATATTCTTACAGGGGTTTCATAATTACCTTTCAGGAAAATAAGAC